ATATATATATATATTTTTTTATTCCAGTGGAGATGATGAGATGATTTAAAATACCCACAAATGGAAGTCAATGGCGTCTGTAAACGACATAGAGTTTGTAGGCCCAGTTCTTCGTGTGATACTGGTTCTGTAGGGGGATTTCAGAGCGCTGTGATACTGCACTTTTTTGTACTGAACTTTGTCTTTGTCATGAATGTGGACGGACTCCTGTGAGGCGTTTCTCAGTGAGAAAACAGAAGTGAAACAAAAAGGCCTGGACTTCCCCATGCAGCACAGACAAAGCACATGCTGTGATGCGGCTTTTGATCCAAGAAACTTGTTTATCAGGACAGGACAGCGTGTGCATGATCCCACCATCTTTACTTCTGCCACACCACACATCTATGTCGGTTGGTGACCTGTCACAATGGCTCTTTACCGCTATTCATTCCTCAGTGTGCATCAATGAAACTGCTGCTTTTTTTGCAGACAATCCAAACACCTCGACCTATCGCACGCAGCCTGATCAGCTCATGTCATCCCATGTTGCCAAGTCATCAGTCTTTTCGACGTGAAAGCGGGCCTGCTCACGACTCCTGCAGCCCTCTTAGTGTAATCCAGTCATTGACGTCGTCCTCGCTATTGTAGAAGTGTTGTTGTGTCTCTGACCTCTTTTCATTTCCGCTTGCTCGTTGTTGGGGCCACATGGTTTCATTCTCGCACCCTAACTATAAATACCTGGGAGGGGTGGAGAAGACACCTGAAACACACCACACTGTGCTGCTTACACTGAGAGACAATCATACAAACAGGACTCTCCCCCCCCCCCCCTCGTGGGATTTTGTTTTTCCGGTCTTATTCATTCAAGTCTTACTCAAACCAGGAAGTCCCTTTCACACAAAGAGGTTTGCTCACAGGGCTGAATAGTTGGTTGGCATATCTGTTGTTCTGCAGACATTTCAATCAGGCAGTGGTGACTTTAAACTGATTATGGTACTTTCCTGTGAGACACGTATACCAATATTAAGATCATTAATTGATGGATTCATTTCTATTCAACACAGATATTTGAATCGGAAAACTGTTCAGTTTTCTCTCAGTTCAGCTTTTTCTAGTTTTTATGTGAAATTGGTCTAAAGTTACTTGTAGCCTACATGTTTTTGTTGTGTGTGTGTGTGTGTGTGTATTTAAAAATAAGTAAATGATATGTACTGCACACACTGGTTCAGTTATATTTAGGGCTGCAACTAATGATCAATCCTGTTCTTGATTAATTGCTGAGCTGTTTAGTCTATAGAGCACCAGATAATACTGAAAGAGGCCATAGTCCAATTCAATCAAAGTTCAAACTGTCCAAAACTCAAAGTTCTTCAGTTAGCTTTAATTTAGAAAAGCAGAAAATGCAAACATTTGTGAAATTAATACCAGCTCATCGAAAAAAAGATGCAAAATCTTGTCAATAATAAAAATAGTTGGTGTTGTTGTGGTTTACTTCCGCTTATTCCAAGAAATCTGTAAAATAATCTTTATTCTGAGGCTTTGGCTCCATATCACGGTCGTCTCATATCGTGACTTACTCTTTGATTCCAACCCCTGATATGATGTTTTGAGTCCCAATGAAATACATTTCAACACATTTTGAATGATTAACAGCAGTTGACTTTATTCCACTTATATTAAATAATGAAACAAGGATCATAATCATCATTGCAGCAAGATTGATCAATAAGACATAGATAAAGAAAGAGAGCTCTCTGAATTGATAAACATTTCAACTCATTGCTGAGAGCACAGTAACTGCAGAAACATAGATTTTACAGCACACTGTCTGCTTGAATACAATAACATCCTCATGCTGCTGTGTGACTAGAAGTCAGGTTCAGCGTTTGCTATACAGCCCGACGTTTAAGGCGACTTGATGCTAAAGTGTGATTTGAATCCGTTCTAATCGTTTTACAGACGAGGCTCTTTGTATTGTTCTATTTTAGTCTAAATTAAGCACTAATGCTCGCTGCCATTTCCTGCTTTTTGCACACATTTGTTTGCTACAACTTTCCACTCAGTGTTTGGGGTTACAGCGTGTCCTTGTTTTGTCAATGAAAACCTACAAGGATGCACCTTCTAACGGGTGCTTTTAACATCTCTCTATGCTATTTAACAAAAAAATTCTTGTATTGCTCAATACCCCAACCGCTAAGTCTCGCCATTTAGCCCACTAGGTGTTACAGTTCGAGGTCGTCTCTTGAGATGATTACTGAGGAAAATTGTGAGGCAACATTTTCTGTGTCTTGTTGAAATGCAGTGTGTTTTTGTTTTTTTTCCACTGTTACTCTACTACTGCTTTTGTGGGTGACGATTGCTCAATGTACGACAGCTTAAGTGTCCGAGTTTTTTGCAATCGTGATGGATAAAGATGTTTATATTTTCTGTGCTCCGCTCCCATAGAATCCTGCACTTAGCAATCATCCATGAAGACCGATTCATTGCTCAACAGTTGATACAGCTATTCCCCAAAGAAGTCCTGGACATCCAAAACAACTTGTACCAGGTAAGAGCAACCTGACTCTTTCCGCTACACAAGCACACAGCAGCTTCTCCTGGAATTTTTTTGGGATCCAGTGTGACTTCCTCACAGTATTGTGCCTTGATTGTGGAAACAGTGGCATTATTTATATCGCCGTAGTTCCAGAGAGCTGTTGTTCCTCTTTATTTGCAGTCCGTCCTCTCTCAAGGACGTCACTGTGGGTGGTTCCACTTTTAACTCACAAGGGACATTGAATGGAAACTCCCCTCCTTTACCTCCTGTAGAAATGGCACCACAGGGAGCTGTGGAGTTTATCCTGGTGTGGATGTGGGTGTAGAAAATTCAGTCCTTCAAGATGTCAGACCAGACGGAGTCTTTGCTCGTGTAGAAACCAAAAAATAAAGACTGAGCAGAACTGTCAAAAGGAAACATCTGAAGTTAAGACTCGGCACTTAATGCAGTGACTCAGTTAGCCATTTTGGTTGCCTAATTTCCTCTCGGTAGTCATTTTAAGACCTCACAGGATGAATTCTTCTTAACCCCGTCAGGTTTTTTAAAAGAAAAGCCAATGATGATGCATTTCTGGGCCTTTTTTGTAGTTTTACTGTGTGTTGCACAGATGCAATTCAATCCTACTGATGATAAATTATATTCAAAAATGAAAGCCATCATAGAGCTCTAATTCTACTCCCCGTTGGCCTCAGTAGATCAGACTGCAGTGCGACCACAAGCACCTGTTTGATACGGACCGAAGGTGCAACTCTCACTTTCTCAGCTTCATTATATTCTCTGTATGTTCCGTATCCATACGTATCACCAACAGCTGGATTTCATTGATACTCCACAGGAACAGGTTCTCTGGTGGTGGTTCAAAGGCATTCTGGGAAAAGCAGTGACTGAAGTAAAATAGGCCGAGTTAAAGGACAATAACTAGAAAGAAACCTCGGCAACTATCTGCTATTGACATTGTAGAATAAGGATTTTACATTTTTCGATAAAACTTTGTGGAAGAAATGTCAGAAAATCGTGAAAAGTGTCTTCAAATCCCTTATTTTGTCCAACTTCTTCTATCATCTATCTTCAATCAATTACTCAATCAATCATGTTATTGACTTAACATTCTGGCTTGCATTGGTTATGATAAATAAATGGTATTTAATTCAAACAGAGACCTGCAGTTTTGATAGCATTGCTCATCCTTTTTGTCTGTCGTGATCCTCAGAGCCCTTTGCACCTGGCCACCTACCTGAACCTGACAGACGTGGTGAAGGGCCTGGTAGAGAAAGGGGCCAGTTTGGAGCTGCAGGACCAGGAGGGGAACACGGCGCTGCATGTGGCCTGCCAGCATGGGCAGACGGAGTGCGCCACCGAAATGACCAGAGAGGTTTCCCCCAGCAAGCTGGCACCGGTCCTCGAGACCCAGAACTGGAGAGGTGAGGAACAAGACGTAACTGCTGCAGCGCCTTAATCAGCCAATTATTTATTCCTGGGAATCTGAATTTGAATTTCCCAGATTATGCAACTCCGATTTTGTGTCCAAATATATCATAGCCTTTTGGTGCGTTTAGGCCAAGACTTGTCTTTAATGTTGTCAGAAATAATTAACTTTGCTGCCATTGTTAAACCAATATAGCATGAAAGGAAACATCATAATTGAAATAAATCTGTCAAATTCGGTTTTGCTAACTCTCTAGCTTCAGCACTTCGGTGCAAATCAAATGTGGATGTGAGGCGGTTTCTGGCCCCACAGCGTTGTTTATAAACAGCAACAGTTGCTAGGGTAGCACAGATGTGCCGTGTTTGCAAAAAACAATTTGTAGTTGATCTGCAGCATGTCTTCATGGTTTCAGTTTGATTTTTATTGTTTGGAAAAAAACGTACTTTTTACAAAACATTTTTCTGTCTCTTATGACCTCAAAATGAACTCCATGTTCCATATTTGAAACAAGGTGTGTCCTTGCAGGTCTTGCCTGTCTTCACTTGGCTGCACTGAACAGGCAACATCAGATTATGAAGCTCCTGGGGAAAAAGGAAGCAGACTTGAATATCCAGGTTAGTCTGTGAAATGACTCCTTACTGAACTACATCACATGGCTCGTTATCATTTTTAATAACGAGGCTAGAATGCTTCTGTTTCTATGTCATTTGGTGTGAAATTATCTTCTAAATCAGCTTCAGATTGTCCCAGTAAGCTTCTACCTGCAGCCAGTTGACTCTGACCTGCCACTTATGAGATTAAAGCTATGTGTCGTCTCTCTCAGCATATATATTGAAGAACAAAAAAAGTTTTTAATCAATCAGTTTCTGGGTAGGATTCTCCAGTAGTGTCCTTCACATGATCCAGCAGTGTTCCAGTATTTATAATCACACTGTGTTCCTGGCCTTATGTTGTGTTCTCGTCTATAAATCTGCTGCACTCGTGCAATGCTGATAGTGATATGAGCTGAGCTCATGGCTTCCCGTAGGATTCATGGAGACATAATTAGTTTGGAGATATGATTAGGCTGGCCAGCCACTCTTAACTTGCTATTGATGGAAGGGAAGAGTCCCGAAACTACCACAGACATTCCTCTCAGTTTAAATCACCGGCCAAAGATATCGCTGTGCCTTATATTCGGCTTATTTATATTATTATTATAATAATTATTATTATTGTTACTTACTACATCCTTTTCTTCCAAGCTTGCAGAATGCAAAATAAATAGAAATATGTCCACACTTTCAAACAGAAAAATACAAAACTAAAAAAATGTAATTGACTTACTTTCTGGCATTGTCCCATTTGTGTAACTCTGGAATTCCTCATTACTATTTTCGCTCCACGCCTCTCTCAGGAAGGTACCAGCGGGAAAACAGCGCTTCATCTCGCCGCTGAGCTGCATGACATCACATCAGTGAAGCTGCTGCTCAGCAGGGGAGCCAATGTGGATGCCGCCATGTTTAACGGCTGCACGCCCCTGCACCTCGCAGTGGGGAGACAGGACGCCGCCATCGCCCACCTCCTCTGCCAGTCTGGCGCTGACACGATGCTGCGGAACATGGAGGACGAAACGGCGCTGGATCTGGCTGACGGCAATGATGACGTAAGCTATTGTGATTGACAGTTACAGGTATTTAGGTTTTCCTGTCATTTGGTGCGGACTGCAACAGACCGGAAGTGAAATGTGATTTTTTTTTTTTGTATCCTTGTCTTTCAGATTCTGGCTCTATTTCCTTTTGATGACATCCAGATCTCCGGGAGGTCGGTGGTCAGTGTGAAGTTTTGAGCTGGATCATCGGCTTAACAACAGTCTTCTGGGGCTTTACTGCGGCTGAAACCTTTTGCTTTATCAAAAAAAGAAGAAAAAACCAGCTGCATTTGGGTCGGACGTTTTCATTAAATAGTGCCTCTTTTTGTAGTACATTCTGATTTGATTTGTATTTATCCATTATCTAGACAAATATGTGCACATGCAAATCTTACTTCCTTCTGACAAAGAGTGATTCTGCTTAATTGAACACTGATTGAAAAAAATCTGTGTTGCTGAGTCATTGGTTACATGTTTCTGCTTGTTTCCGCATGCGTCTGGAGGGGTTGAAACGAAAGCCACCTCAATGCGAGTGCCAAACTGTCTCTCTACATGTTCAATGTCCATCGAAAATTCTACCTCTTAATCACATTAACCTAGTTTTAATGGCTAGAAATTGAACATTCAAATTTCTTGGTGTCACAGTTTCTCAAACTTCATCAGTGCTACGATGCATTTCATTTCACTGCTTTTCATTGTTGCCATAGAAAGTCATTTTGTGGAATAAAATTAATGTTCCATTTACTAAATGTAAAACTAACTGAGTGTCCCAAAGAGACGAAGACAAACTAATCACATCCTGCTATTTATTAGAGAGCTGGTTGCCCAAATAAAAATGTAATATATGACACAAAATGCAGCTTCATCCTTTTGATTTTTTTGCTACTTCATGTTGTGAAGCAGTTTTCTCTATTTATCTCATCTAGTCCTTAATCTGCAGTAGCTGTTCATTTACTTTGGTGTGTAATTACTCTGCCCTGTTTAGTTAAGATAAGCAGTTTGTTTATTTTGTAATAAAATAGAAAAAAAACTCACATTGCTTGCATATTGTACTTTTTTCTGGGTAGAGGGAATTTTGGGGACATTTGAAGCTGTGTTTAGGAGCATCGGTGATATCTGTGGTATCTGTACACACCCAAATTCATTGTCCAACATGTGCTCTGCAGTGGTAGCGGCAGGTTTATCAGAAACCTTCATAAAAGATATTTCAGAGGTGCAAACAAAGACGAAGAAATGTAAATTGTATTTGCCATTTTAAGGAAAGGAGAGGTTTGGTAATTGAATGAGCTTTTGGAGCTCCTTTAAAGCTCATCTGTAAATATCTGTATTTTTTTTGTTCTTTGCTCTTTTACTTCTACCAATGCATATCCAGTAAATCACTAGAGTGATAGAGTACAGAGCGCACTTTATGACAAAGCTCTTTCATGAAAATACAGAGTTCTGTTCTTCGCTTCCTGTCAGCTGCTTTTGTTAGGTGTATCTTTTGTTTTCCTGTAAGTGGCTTCTTCCTCATGGCTCCTATAACACAATGACTGTGGAGCAGCGGGAAATTCCGCTCAGCTGTATCTCGTTTATAAGCACATACCAACAGCATAGCAGGTTGAATAATAAGCTCGTAATAGGTCATAAGAAAAACCCGACTAATTACACTTAACCTTATCTGAGGCAATCATTTATTTATTTCCTCTGGCCAGGTAAACGGTGGCAGATTCATGTGCAGAAACAAGTTATTATGGTAACTGCTTCTACACAGACAAACCTCTGTGGTGAACAGCGAGAACAGAGTTGTGAAACTGTACCTACTTCCCCATTGAGCCTATGGCCTGAAGCTACTTGTGCTATTAATACACTGTACTGTAGGTTATGCTGGTGTTGCTGTGGGCTATGTTAAAAACAAAGGTGAAGAAGTTTGATATTAAGTAATACTGCATATTTTCCTTCTTTAAATGAGCAAGGTGTTTGTTTTAATATTGCATCATTAAAACTAGTGTCTGATGTCTGTGAGCATTAGTTACTCCAACACTGGTGGCATTAGTTGAGTCATTTTTGTTGCATTTCCGTATGTCATTACGAATAAAATCTTTTTTTCTTCAGCAAAAATAAAACCTCAAAACATTTAATATTTTTTTCATTTTACATCAGCAGATCAAATGCTGCTTTTAGTAATGTTGGAAATATCAAAAAGAAGATGAAATATATGTCAACAGTTAGTTGCGAAAATAAATAAATAAAGTAAAGTGAATGTAAATGTGTTTAATATGGTGTTGCTTTAACATGCAGGCCTAGCCGACGCATAGTTCCAACAACTTCTGATAGGCTAAGTAATTCTGATCAAAAGGGCAAGACAAATGATATAACATGTATTACACAAAATCAGTGGTGGGAGAAGATCCTTCACTTGAGGAGATAAAGTTGAAATATAATATAAAATTCACTCCATTACAAGTAAAACTCCTGCATTGGCCTGTTCCACAGCAGCCATTGTGACATGTGATATGTTTACTTTAATGGAACAGAGTCATCATGAACAGTATCAGCTCCACCTGTGCTTTCACTGCTATGTCTGCTGTAAAAAAACACATTTAAATTGTTACTTATGTACATTATATTGTCAGCTGAGTATCCAAAGTAATGATACTCATTATGCAGAATAGACACTTTTATTCTGCTATATTCTTATGTGTATTGTGTCACTATCTTATTATTTCTCTTGCCTTAATGTGTGCATTTTAATGTTTATTTTAACTCCTTAACTTATTGTTGGGTAGTTTCTGGCACAAACTAAACTACTTCAAAATCCATGGAGTGGACCACAACAGGTCCACTCTGTGGAAAATTGCTCTTTTTACTACAAGTGTTCCTGGAGTTCCTGGACCTTTGCTTTACTGTTTTACTAGTTTCCTTATTTCCATTATTGCTTTAAAGCTTGTGACTTTATTAAGCATCTGAGGAGCACAGGGAGGCAGCAGCGCCAGGTTAAAAGCTTTGCCTTTGACTGAACCTAAACATACATAATGTTCCACCTTGTGTTTACTTATCTTATCACCCTCTATCAAGCTAGTATTTATTTATCTGATTTGTAATGTGTTTGTTTCTGTATTTCTTTTTTGATGTATTAATGCATCATGTACAGCATGTTTACTTTGCCTTTGTGTATGAAATGTGCGCTACAGTTAAAACCACTTTGCCTTGCAGTTACTCCTCCACACCGACAGGGGTCAGGGTCGCCAGCGGGCGCCGTTCTCCCTCCTCCGGCATTGAGCAGAGAGGAAGAGGCTTTTTTTTTTTTTTTCCTGCCCAAGTGAACCAACCGGAACCAACACATCGGCCATTGAGGAGGATAAGTTGAAGACATCAGAGCTAAAGGCGGCTAGTCCGAAAGAAGACAATCCTTTATTTTCAATATATCGTTACCAGCCGGGTTCGTGCGGCTTCATGCTCCGTCACAGCGGAGGCGTTTGATTCTGTCGCCGGGGCGTCGGGCCACAGAGAGTGGGGGGAAGATGCCATCTTTTTCATGGAGGTAACGCTGGAGATCAATAGTAACGTTAGCTAACTGGAAAATATGAGTTTTAGGTGTGGATATGCTCGGCTGCTGACTTATATACTTGTCAGCGTGGCAATCACGTCGGTTAACTGTTCATTTCAGTTATGCGTTATTACTTTGACGGTCAATGTGTTTCTGAAGTCTGCAAACAAGCTGCTAGCTAACAAATCCTGTGACACGAATAGTAGCTGTCCTAAGTTAGCTTTATGTTCCTACTGCATGTGTTTAATATGATACTGTATTCCTTTGATGAGCGTTAATAGAAACGGTCTCCCAGAGAGTCCCATATCTTGATAGCTGTGAAACTAAAGTGGAGAGCACTTCTACCTCTCACTTAAATGGAGTCACCCTATTTGTTAACACTCATCAAAATATGATAATGTGATTAAAACACTGCAGTGGCAATAAGGCTGAAAGTACTGTACAAGCAAGATAATCTGATGGGTTACATCATTTGGTGCAACACCGTTTTGGCTTGCTTCCCTTCCCACTGATGTGTTTACTATGAATAGATTTATTAATCCAGACCACACCCATCAGCAGCTATGTATATTAGAACGTATAGATATGTGGGACTGGTAAACGAGGGGATGTTGTTGTCATATTATCTGCTGTCATAAAGCGTTAATCTTGTAAGACACAAGCACCCTCACTCCTCAGGTACATTTTTTGGCAGCTGTCTCTGTGTGCTTTTGGTGTGACAGCCTGTGGGTTGGCAGTGCAGTGCATTCCTCCATGTAATAAGTTGCTTGTTCAGGGCCCAGGACTCTCTGCAGTGAACCGCTCCCACACAAAGAGGCTCTGTTAGAGCCGGGCTCACAGGCCCCCCAGGGAGGAGGCCCCGCCTCACTTTGAATACCGATACACAGTCGGTGCCACGACAGCAAGGAGCACACCTTTTTCATAGAGAAATAGGGTTTTATCATGTGGGTGTGGGTAATGATGAAGCCAATCTAATATTTCCCGGCTAATTCAACAGGTTGTGGTTGTTTTTACGCGATGACCTGTCTCACATACGGTCATGAAGAAAGGATAGTGATGGTGGTATTACATACTTTGCTGGAGAAAGCCAAGCCCCCGGGAATGGGGTTTGAGAACGGTTACTGCTGGTTATGTTGCAGATTCAGATTTGACTCGCAAAATAGAACAATAATAATAGTATGCATTATTAATCATAAAACTATCCAGCATCATAGAAATTAAAGATCCACGTTGAACAGACATTAAGTATATTTAGGTACATTGTGCACTTGATGTAAACATTTAAATGCAGTTTTATTGTTCAGTATTAATAGTTTTACTATAATAGTTAATAGTTTTACTTAAGTAAGAAAGTTTTGAGTACTGTTATTAAAGGCTGTGTTATTATGTTGCTTTATTAAGTTTAATATATTTATAATGCTAGAAGGTAACTCTTTAGATTCCCAATATGTGGTCAGTTTATCCAAATAACGCCTGTTTGGAAGTTTGCTGTAATCTTTTTTTGGAGATGTGAGAGCCGCTACGGCCCGGTCGGCATTCTTCAATGAACCTATGATGACAACTGTCTGCTGGTAAAATCATACTTAGTCGTTCTGAGGAAGAACTGCTGGACACACACACACACACACACCTTGCTTTATAGTTAGATTGTAAAATGTCTTTCTCAGAGCAGCACCTTCAGGTTTGTCTGATTCAAGATCTCCGTTTTGAAGTAATTCAGATGAGATTGAGAAAGTCGTAAACCGACATAAAAAGTACAATCCTTACCACTTGATATTCATCACTAGCATTGATATGATGGGTACTAATGTATTGATCATCTCAACTGTATTTTACGGAGAGAATAAGTCTGAGTTAGTGATTCTCTGTGTACGATGTGGTCTGATATACCTTATTGTTTCACCCTGTAGGGTTTGCCCTGCATTCGTGCTGCTTCTCATCCCTTCCATCGTGGCTGCTGAGGAGTCGTCACTACTGGATGGCTGGCACGATGTTTGGATCTTGCGCTTCCTTGTCAACGTTCTGGGATACTCCACCATCATCATCCCCGGCTACTTCCTCATTAGCTACTTCAAGCGCACCAATTACTTGGAAACAGGTTTGGGCTTGTGATACAGACGTCTAATTTGGAGATGCATGCCAGTTAAAGAACACAAACTTGTTCCTTCCTGACCACCTCGATATCAAGTTCAATCATTTTTTTGAACGTTGTCTTTCAGGTAATGGGTTTTGTTTCCCTCTCATAAAGACCTGTGTGTTTGGCAGTGAGGCCAAAACAGGTCTGTTGGATGACGTGTCACTTGCACCCAGGAACGAGGGTGAATCCGGCTCGTCGGTCAGACAGGTCGTCAAATTAATCTTCTGTGCTGCCGGACTTCAGGTGGGGATCCTTCAACCGCTGCATGTGGTGTAGTCCCATTAATCCCATGCACTGTCTTACTCTGTTTGTGCAGCTGTGGGAGAGTTGTTTCATGTTTGTTTTACAGTTTGCTCTGCTCTCAGCTTGACTCGCTATTTTAAAAGATGCTTAAGTGAAGTTTGTATAAAGGGAGGTGCCGGGACACCGGTGCAGGACCGTAACTTCGCCATCTACCAAACGGAGCGCTACGTCAAAGGATGGGTATATTAACAAAGGACAAAATGACCGCATCCAATGTGACAGGCGCCCTCGGCTCTACAGAGTGTTTTAGTGTACATAAAGTTAAGCCGTGAACTTCATGGATCAATAAGTAGCTAAGGAGCCAAAAAAATCCACACTCCTTGTTATGTGCAAAAATGCACTGTAAAGTTCTGCCATTAAAGGTTTTTTATTCGCCATTCAGAGAAAAGAAACTGACGTAACTCTCCCTCTGTGTGTTGTAATCGGAGCCTCTTTATGCTTTGTTTACATAGCCAGACAGGCCCCCGCGTGACTTTTGCTTCATGTTTGTGCACGTGAGCGTGCCCCCTCTGGTTAGCTCACAGTCGCCGTTTAGTTTAGTGCCAACACTCCAGTTTTCTCTCAGGTAAACGCTGTTATCTCCGTCAGCACTGTTGCTTTAGTTAGCGCTGCTAGCACCGTTAGTGGCGCGCCTCAGCCGTAGCCATGTTAAGGCAGTAGTTATGCTCTCGATTGTTTAGCACCTTTACGTTTAAGTTCACCAAATCAAATGGATATATTTTAAAGCAAGAATCAACTTCAATGCTCAACTTTTACCGTACAAGTACACTCTTGAAATGCTTACGTCAGTATTCTTATTCTTAGGTATCGTACCTGACATGGGGAGTCCTGCAAGAGAGGGTGATGACGCGTTCCTACGGAGCCACGACTCCAGAAGACGAGGGCGAGAAATTCAAGGACTCTCAGTTCTTGGTCTTCATGAACCGTATCCTGGCCCTGACCGTGTCGGGCCTGTGGTGCCTCATGTTCAAGCAGCCTCGCCACGGAGCACCCATGTACAAGTACTCCTTCGCCTCGCTCTCCAACATCATGAGCAGCTGGTGCCAGTACGAGGCCCTCAAGTACATAAGCTTCCCCACTCAAGTCCTGGCCAAGGCCTCCAAGGTCATCCCCGTCATGCTCATGGGTAAGCTCGTCTCCCACAAGAGCTACGAGTACTGGGAGTACTTTACCGCCGTGCTGATCTCAATGGGTGTCAGCATGTTCCTGCTGTCCAGCACGCCCAGCAAGCACCCGTCCACCGTCACCACCTTCAGCGGGGTCGTCATCCTCATCGGCTACATCGTCTTCGACAGCTTCACCTCCAACTGGCAGGACAACCTGTTCAAGTACAAAATGTCGGCGGTGCAGATGATGTTCGGGGTGAACCTGTTCTCCTGCCTCTTCACCGTCGGCTCGCTGCTTGAGCAGGGGGCGTTTTTCGACTCGGTGGCTTTCATGATGCGCCACTCCGAGTTCGCCTTTCATGCCGTGTTGCTGTCCGTGTGCTCGGCGTGCGGCCAGCTCTTCATCTTCTACACCATCAACCAGTTTGGTGCCGCAGTCTTCACCATCATTATGACCCTGCGGCAAGCTATCGCCATCCTCCTCTCTTGTTTCCTGTACGGTCACGCCGTTACCATAGTGGGTGGATTTGGCATCGCGGTAGTTTTCTTGGCACTTTTCTTACGGGTGTACGCACGTAGCCGCATGAAGTCGGGTCGGCGGTCAACACTGCCGCCCCCACAGAAGGTGTAGCACGCTGAAGTCGCACCAAACTGGGAACTGAGACCACGTTTTCTGTGGAGCTTTTTGTCTATTTTGTGTGTATCGGGTTGGTTTGTTTGTTTTTTACTGTTCGTTTCCATTTGTTTTTTTATTTTTCTTAGCAATGGTACAGAAAGGGATTTTTGAAGTTTTGACACTTACACCAAGATGCCCCCAAGGGGTCCATGTGATTTGTCACGTCAGCAGTCACAGAAGTTTTTGAGTGCCTGTAAGATTGTCTTATACACGAGTCCCAGACCATAGACTTTGCAAACTGCCTCTTCACCAATTTCACACTTAAAACGGTAGAATATTTTTTCCTAAACCCACCGTACGTGGCTTGTGCAGCCAAACGAACAAATTCTGAAAAAATGTTGGAGATGTACGGCTAAGCCTTCATTTTCAAACATGAATGACTCAAAAGGACTAGTGTGTCGGATTTAGGGGGATCTACTGCCAGAAATGGAGCATGATATTCAATATTATGTTTCCAATATGTGTAAAAGAATCGTTGTTTTTCCCGTTAGCTTACAATGAGCCATTCATATCAACATAGGGAGCGGGTCCTCATTCACAGAGCCCGCCGTGTGTTTCTACCGTAGCCAAGAACAGACCAAACACTGGCTCTGGAGACGGCCTTTCGTGGCAGCTTGAATTACAACTTCACTAGATTACACTAAACCCTGCACACGGGTCCTTTTTCAACTTTATCCCAAGTATTTGAACAAGAGTTCAGTAACGCTGAAACTTTCTACTTGTTGAGTTACAACAGCCAGATGCTTATCTCAGTCCTCCGTGTTGGAGAGCAGGGATCTTTATGTGGGATTTATACCTTGTAAAGCTGTAAACATAGCCTGAAAACATGGTGCACACATTACTGTTTAATTTAAGCTATATTAACATGTTATAGAGGCTGGTAAACAACAGTTTGTGTAATAAAGAGCGCACTTCTTATAAATTGTATCATTTGACCCCGACATCAGTGAACCAAATGCCGCTTGTGGGTACTTTTTGCACGGTGTTATTTTACGGAAAACCTTTTTTTTGTTGTTGTCCTCTCAACACAGATTCTACTTAATATTTTAACTTTGGGCTAAAAAGTCTTGTAAATATATCTCTTAGTCATTGTTTATTTCCAACTTGTCTGTCGTGTGCTTTTGTAAAAGGACTGCTTCATGGGTTTTCACCGTCACATGTGAATGTTTGGAAGAACACTGAGTGGATGATGATGATGAAGATGAGGATCATTGCTGTCATAAGGAGGTGAAGATGATGTTGGCCCAGGGGGAGTTTGCAGAACAGAATGCATACAAGGGAAGTGCAATTTTACTGTTACCTTGTTTTTATCATTCTATTTCCTCTGGTAACTGAATTAATAATAAAACATATTAAATTAACACTATGAAGTTGAAGAGGTGTGATTTTACTGTTTCGCAGTGCTCGTGCTACAGAATTTGCCTCATGGCCGGTGCTGTGTGCTTTGCAGGTAATACAATGAACATTTGTTATGTAGCACCATTCACACACAAACTGCACCTACAAGCGCTTTAGGTTTACGTATAATGAATGGCCACAAAATAAACGAATGAGCAAACAATTTAACTTTAAAATACATCCACATAGAAGCGAGTAAAATACCATTTTTAAAAATGATTTCAAAGATTTTGCAGAAGTATATATGGAAAAAAAAAAAAAAAAACAAGGGTAAAAGTCTTCAGCCATGCTAGTAGCTCTGACTGTAACAAATGTCAACAAAACCCAAAACTGTTGGACAGGTAAACCAAAGTCGTGGACGAATTGTACATTCTACCTGATGGTCACCCGACATGAAAAGTCCCGGGATCACCGGTCAGTCATTGGGATTTTAATATGTACAAAATGTTATGGCAGGACTGACAGACTGATGATGCTAATGTGCAAAGCTAATGTGGCTAAACATGGCGGCACAGTAGAAGTAACACATTTTAGCTGTAATTGTTTAACTGACTTGGGGAGTTCGGTGCATTGCAGCAGTCAAGCCTACTTGTAAGTAAAAGCATGCACAAACGTCTTTGCACGTCTGCGCTGCTTGGCAATATTAAGGATGTTGTTCTAGTTATGTTCCTTAAATTAGTCGATCATAAATACCCTGATGTCTTGCCCGAGGTGTCGTAAATTCTATGCACAGTTTGTTTCTTTGCTTTGTTTTTGGCCAAATAACTAGAATCTCAGTTGGAGGAGATTTTGGTTGCAGTTTTCAAGGGAGTAAAGGGGGGGCTCCGGTCTATGAGATAAACATCTATATAGCGTTGGGTGTCATCTGCAAATGGGTTTAAGTCGATGTAGGTTTTCCTCTCTGCCATCTCTCAACATTTCTTCCTGTCTCGAGTCTTATCAAGAAAAAAAACAGCATGTTATTTTCGAAACAAACTTGTCTGAGTGTCTCTTTGCATTCTACACTAATTCATAAACCAGACCACTTTTATGATTCACTGAACATCAAACTGAAGACAGTATTTGACTGTGTAGAGCGAGAAAACATTTCCCCTTTAGTTTATCAATCTCACAGCTACTCAATGGGGAATTTCCCCGCACCTCTCATTTCTCAACCCCATCTGGTTTGGAGTTGTGTGCGTCACGATGTCAGCGTCTCCAGTCCTCTTTTTCAATAACGCAAATGAAAAACGAGATGCGGGGGGGAGAGGACGCAGGCACGGAGACCTCTGATTTCTGCCCCCAAAAAACAGTCACTCTGGGCTCTCGATCTGACTGAAGGGATGAGTGTTTTTATTGTAACTTTTATTAGCCGGTGTTGGTATTTGACTGGTTTAGCAATGCCCGGCATGACTCGGGAGCTTCCAAAAACAATCGTTGTATTCTGTTCATACCTCATAGAGCAGGTGGGCTTGGGCCTTTTTGGTTAGTACGCTTATTAGCTTTCTTGCTGAGAGACAGATGGGAAAATTTATAACAGTTAGGCTACATGTCTGGGCACTAAATATGAGCCTACTACTAGCTAACGTAGCTTAGCACAAAGACTGGAGACAGGGGAAACAGTAAGCCTTGTTCAGTCCAAAGTTGACCAATTCCACTAGGGGTTTCTAGGGGTTATGTGCCAGACTACTTGGCCAGGTCCAGTCACTTCCTGGAGTCTTTGCAGGTAGCAGGATAACCGGTCCTGACCAAGCAATATTTGGGCATGTTACCCTCTGAAACATTTGTATGGATGAACCTGCCTTTATAAGTGCTGGTAGTGGGTTTTGTTACATTTGGACAGAGCCAGGCCAGTTGATTCCCCCTGTGTTAAGTCTTTGTGCTAACCTAAGTTAGCCGGCTGCTAATGGTAGCTTCAGGGCACAGTCACACATCCACAAATGCAGGCAATCGACCATCGCCTGCTGAAGTGACAGTCGTGCTGAATGTGGGCCTTGCCAAGTCGGGTCAACCACAAATGGTTGAGGCTGGGACTTTGCCGGTCAAACTTTCGATGATGTGAATGTTTTATTCGGCCCTTTGCTCGCATGCGATGGAAGATAACTGGAGGCAAGTACCTGCATTAAGGCATGGCCACACATGCGCAAAACCAACATTGGCAGATATTTGCACACACACGTGTGGTTGACCAAACTTGGCACAAGTATGACTTGTGTGACTGACCCAAATGATGATCTTCTCCTTTAAATTGGTTTTGGGGATCAAGAAGCAGCATTGGGACCACAAGGCTGCCCGTCTAACCTTTAGGCCACCACAGCTCACTCCTTTACTGTACATGTGGAGACTCCGTTACATTTAGTCATAAAGGTTGTCGTTTCCGTGGGTTGCTGCATGTTATACTTCATTACAAAAGGTTTTTTTAATTCTCTTCATCTTGCTTCCCTCCTACTTAATGTGGGTGTTAATCCTGTTCCTTTACAAAGTGCTGTTAAATATGAGAAGTAACACTATGCCTCATGTGCGCAACAAAGTTGTTTCAGATCATGAGTAGTAATTGTGTTTTTTGTTTCTGACACCTTGCATTGTAAATGTCATGGAAACTTAATTACACCCTTTATGCACACAGGCCTGCAGCATGGTGCGCTTGCAGTATACATTGCAATACTACGCTTCATCTTATCTCATGGTATCTGCAGATCTTCAGTGGTATAAAAACCCGCAACCTCAGTTATTATCCCGGAGGCAGTAACGCACTAATGTACATAGAGACATGTCTGTGTGACTGAACAATATGCAGTCTTCCAGCTGACACATTTAAAGCAGCTTTCTTGGCATTTCTCAGAACAAGACAATACAGAGAGAAGAGATGACAGAATACAAAGGTCATAAGAACTGTGACACTGCAAGCAAATGTGACACACCAGCCTGCTGAAACACCAGGAACCTCCCCCTTAACTAAGGCACTCAGCATTTGTGGGTTGAGAACAGCTTTACACACAGGAGTCAAATGTTTCCACAGGAAGTCGTTTGTTGAAACAAAAGCAGGTCCGACCAAATTCACCTTTCACATTCATGAGGGAAACCTGCACTGACTCTTGATGAAATCAACCAGGAAATTTCCACCAGCTGAACCAGATCGAGAGCTCACTACAGACCTGGGGCAGCTCTTTCAAGTCACCAGACATCAGCATCCTGTATTAACATTGCTACATAACTACAAATATATAAGTATCATTCTTAGAAGACATCTTTTTCTGGCCATTTTTCAGTACATTTCTTGTCAACTTTTAACTTTTAAGGTCAAGAATGAACTTAGAAAGTTTATGTAGAATAGTAGTGAGACGTATCTAGAGATTCAACGTTAACACATACACACAAAATCAAACATTCATTTTTACAACCATTATCTCGCCAGGAAAGATCCCGCCATCAGTCGCGTGCGTGTGCTTCAGTCATGGCTGCTTGCTGAAGGACATCTTGTGGTTGCGTGACTCAAACCTTCTCAAAAACACTGGCCATTTTGGGGCCGCTAGTGATAATACAGCTGTGTGCATCTCCGGCCCACCATCTGCTACTCTGTGCCCAGGGACACAGTGGGAGTGGGAGGGGGAGGGGGGCGGACAGGGACAGTTTGTTCACTTTTATTATTTGGGATGGTGTGTTTGGCTAACAGCTAACGGAGCTACTAGTGCACACACTGCTGAGTACATCGCCGCCACTAAAAGGCCGCTGCTAAGCGGGCAGACAGCTTGGTGGGTTAAATGTTGTTTTGGAAAGATTGTATGAAATTTCTTATGTCGCTGCTTGCTTTTGAGGTTGAATGAAGGTGTGTTTTGAAGTGTGGGTTGTATTCATTTAATCACACAATACAGCAGTGGTCATTGCAGACACACCTGGCGGAGATCTGCACTCTACTGAGGGCCATTATGTGGTGAGTACTCACACATATCATTTGTCAAATCCTCAACCATTATGCAAATGATTTGTAGATGCAGCAAATTAAGGAGGCGGTGAAGTTAAGAAGGCATTACAAAGAAAAACAAAAAACGTTTTCAGCATGTTTCTGAATGACACGGCTGAAGTTCTGACTATCACTTTGACTAGAGTGAGCTGTGTGCTCAGGAGGGACAAACACCCACGCTTCACCGTTTCTGATGAGCAGAAAAGATGCTGCCGCCCCCTCAAACTTGTGTGAAACACATGACTTCCAGGAAAACTACTTATTTCACATTTCCCCCAGAGTTCAAGTGATGCCTCACTTTCAGGAAACTCACACATGGCAGTATTTTACAATGCTTGACATATTGCTTTATTTATTTGCATTGTGGTTGAAAAACAGATTTTTGAATGAACACACCTGCATTTTCTGATAACTATCGGATGTGGCCATAGTAATACAGAATAAAAAAATAAATAAATGTTTCCATGTGCGACATTTCTATAACAGGTTTACATGACACCACATTTCTGATGCAATTTAACCTTATTTCAGTTCAACCTGCCCATCAAGCCAATGGGGACACAATGCAGTTTAAAGCATGGTTAAGCAGGCAAGTGTCTGCTCTTGGTTTGGGTAGGCGGTTATCAGAGAAGATGTATAGAGGTTAGGTTAGAGACTAGTCATGTCAGACTTAACCACCGCAGGACCATTTGGTTATTTTACTAACCCTAACCCTCATTTGGGTGGCACCAAATGACCAATTAAGGATATTTTGAGGAGCTTTTCCCACCCAGCTAAGAATATATTGTAGTCCTTTGAGGCATATTCTTTCACATAAACTGAACACTTGCAGGTGTGACCATGGAAGTGTTGCATTTGACAATTTTAAACTGACGAGGCCCGATTTGTTTTTGTCGACTACATTTGCATCTCATACCAGCTGTACAGAGTATTTACTAAAAACCTAGTCTGTAGCTGTCCAATACACTTTTTCTAGTGTTTATAATCAGTTGAAATTAAGAGTCACCCCAAAACTGGAAATTCTATAA